GAGAGGAGGAAAAAGGAGAAGAGGGTTTCAAGAAAACAGCATTACTTGCTGCGAAGTGCCCCGAAGAGTTCGTGCAGTTTGTCAACAAGCTGCGGTGCAGATCAGAAACCAGGGGTTCGGAAAGCATAAGAATGTCGGGCTCGGCGCAATATATACATTTCAAAAGACAGAACGTGAACTCTGTTTTCGTCCCATTCCAACGGGAACCAAGCGATATTTCAGACGAGATGGATTCCAAGGAAATATATAGAGTCGTCAAACATCTGAGTTGTCACACGACTGTGCTGGATTTATGTCACCCAACCCAGATAGGGGTGTGGACTGAAGAAGTCTTTGATGGTCTGCGGAAGTTCATGGGAAAATTGGTTGGTGATTATTGGACATTATTATGCTTCGTTCCGCGGTCTTTGAGTATACATTTTTAAAGCGAGTTACAAGTTGGGAGATTGACATTCACTTGTCTATTCCAAAGTGGACTCGTGAGCTACAAACGAAGGCGAAGCATTTATATAAGGTTGCGAACTTGCCTTTGGAGGACACAGACAGAATGGTTGTCATCATGTACTACAACGATGGGGATTATCACCGCAACACCATTCCCTTGCTTGAAGACATTCCAGCAAGCATTCCAGCTGCAGATCGATCATCTGGCGAGTAGGCGGGTGACTTATCAGCACTTGTGCGCAGAGAGAGAAGGCCAAAGATGTTGGCTGATGTCGTGGAGAAGAACTTTACGCCCACGAAGTTGAAAATGGCAGGTATGGAGCCAAGGGAGAAATTGGTGTACGAAGGTATGGAAAGGGAGCCAAATGCGATGGTGGAGACATTGGAGCACTTTTGTCATGTGGATGAGGCGGTTGTTTTCCTTGGAAAAGGCCATGCGGTATTGATTTGGGAATTGTTAAAGAGTCACCGTCATTGCATTGTTCTGGAAGGGGAGGGTACGAAGTTCGAGTTTCTCATTCAATTCATCAGCAAGATGGTCAAGAGTGGACTTTACCTCGTCAAATTTGTTAAGCCACCTCCTCGACATGATGAAAAGCGTGATCTCGTCTACAAAGTCGGCAAAAACATCGTCAACATTTGGGAGTTTCTTTTTGAGACTAAGCCACAAAATAGAGGGGAACGTGCATATGTCGTCAAAAGGCGAAAAATGAAATCACTTATGAGGGGGTATCATAAGGCACCGGCGGAGACGGAAGTTGCATTTCTAGACCGTTTGGAGATGATGTACTTCGACGAACAAATCGGGGCGTTTACAATCGCAACTTATGCAACTTGTTTTGGGGAAGGCTTCGATGCTGAGGACTCAGAGGAAGAAAGTGGAGATGGTACTTTGCAAGCGGCTTTGGCAGATGAGAGGCAAAAAGCTTGTAGCTCGGCTTCGTAGAAGATGGGTGCGCCGGACACATCGTCCGGTTCTTGGGGGGCTTCGAGTATGGCAGTTACAACGGACCAGTTTCAACGGACCAGTTACATGGCGGGCAACACAACATCGCTATCTTCCGGCGCAGTTCGGGATGATCCGAGGCTGCAGGCAATTCTCTCCCCAGAGGTTATGGCAAGTCTGTCAGCACTTGCACATAGCCCGACTACTGTCTTGGAATTGCTACGCTCTCAAACTCCTCAACCACCTCCGTTTGAGTCTTTTTGGAGTACGAGACTGAAGACATCATCCCTCCGGACATTGCACGGCTTCTTGGACCTATTGTGTGTCGGGACGATTATACAGTGATGTCTGACAACGTATGGGGTCATCACATTATATGGCACCCCCACCACTTCCAACCTGCATTGGCGAGAGGGAACTGGGTAATGGCTATAAAAGAAGAAGGGGAGTGGCAATTTTGCCTCCACAAACGCATGTCACGATCCAAGTTTGTCGCACACGCCAAAAATGAGATTGGCAAGCGACTACTGCGACTTAATCCGAAGGTTTCTCAATCAAGACTGGATGCAAGGATAGAAGAAATCTTTGAGGAGTTCAAAACATCTCGATGGCTTGAGTATCTGGAAGAGTTCTATGATTGAGAAACAAGTCCAGCTTTTGGATATAATTGGCGTATCGAAGAGGAAATTGAAGACAAAGTTGGGGAAAGGAAAGGAGCGAGTGGCGATGAGAGTGGCAAGGGATGAGGATCAGGCGGCAGTGCGCTTGGCAAGGGAACAAGATCAAGTGGTGGTGAACATGGCAAGGGATCGGAACCACGGGGCGGTGTCAGTGGCAAGGGCTTGGGACCAAGCGTCGGTGCAATTGGAAAGCCAATAAGTCATGGTGAACTGCAAAAACACGAAATGTGTCAAGGGCGTCAAGCAACAGAGGGAAAGGTATCAGGACCAAGCGGCGGTGCACATGACAAGGGATCGGGTTCGCCTCTGGGATTAGGACCAAGCAGCGGTGCACATTGCAGGGGATCGGGTTCGCCTCTGGGATTAGGACCAAACGGCAGTGCACATGGCAGGGGATCGAGAGGCGATGCAAGTGGCCAGGATTTGGGAGGAAGCGGCGGTGCAAGCGTCAAGGGCGTAAGTCATGGAGAACTGCCGAAATGTGTCGAGGACGTCCTTCTGGATGACCAAGTTTGGGCGACCACTGTGTTGGCGAGCGAGAGTGTTACTGCGCAAGTGGATAATACTGGTGCACTTGCAGAATTAGAGATGCTATTGGATATGCCAACTGAGAAAGATGAACATGAAGTCTCTCTGGACATGAAGAATGAAAGCGCGACTGCAGGTGCAAACGAAACTGCCAATGTACAGGCCATCGAAAGCGCCAATGTACTACTAAGTACACGGGAGCAACATACGCTTGTACAGCCTGAACTTATGGTTGCAAAATCAGAAGCACAACAGTTTGCTAACCTCGTGATATCTATCGACGAATCTCCTTTTACACCATCGCATGATGCGATAGAAGATCGTGTTGAAGACAAAGTGTTAGTGAGCCACCGAGGTGAGCACGTACTTATCTCTAAGGGAATATCTAATACTATATGCGGATTAGGGGGTACATGCACTCATCTCATAGGAACTAATTTTTTGCCTAAGTTTGCAACCATGCGCTCGGTCATGAGAAGAAATGAAGTAGAATATTGTGTATCTCTTATTTGCAATTATGTGGAAAATTGAACTTCAACTCATAATGTTTTGTATTGTCAATCATTGTCGTTTTATATTGATGAACATGCAGGGCGACGAAAAGAACTGTGAAAAACGACGCACGTACATTCGCAAAGGCAGAGTGAGAAGAATATTATTCGTCATAGCATGCATGCCCAAAAAAGAGAGAACAAGACTTACATCCATGACATTTCCATCTATGAAGCCAGCTGCCCTAAGGATGTTTAAAGTTGTTGGAATAAGCCTCAGGGAAGGAAAGAAATTGCATCGCGAAGGTTGCAGTTTATCTATTGTGGATGGCAGCTCTGATAGCGAAACAGATAGATAACCAAAAACATGAACTCGGGTCTACGTCGCACATCACATAACGAAAAGTTCGTTTTTGTATGAAGTCTTAGTCGTTCCATTGTTGTTTATATGTGTATTTGCATGCAGTGCATGACCCTTCGTTCCAGATTCTTTTAGCAACAAAACGCCTCACCGTAGAAGAAAAAGAGTATCTTGACATGATTACAGGCAGCAGCGAAGACAATGAAGCATACGACATTGTCGATTACAAGGGGAGATGGAAGGTGGGAAAGGAGGACATCATGGTCGTCGTCGAGGATGGGAAATGGCTAAATAACGAAGTCGTCAATTTGTACCTGCTAGCCGTCCAGATCACCAATGATCACATCAAGGTTGATTCGGCATGTACAGAAGTGACAAGAGATAGGGTTCGTTTTGTGTACATTTTCAATTCATTTCTCTTCACTCGATTGTCAGGTCCTTCGAGGTTTGAAACCGCATATTCCGAAGGGATGAAATGGGTGAAGGACACAAATCTTTTTGATTATGACTTAGTGATTATCCCTCTTCATTTTGGAAATCACTGGGCGTTAGCTTATRTCAGYATAGACGGTCCTAACTGTAAATTCCACCTCATAGACTCTCTCCTTCGTGCTGACTATGTTTCAGTCCTTGAACGTTTGGAAGATTTTTTCGAAGCGGAGTTTCATCGGCACAATCTTCGCGAAAGATATTATGTGGACGGACCTACATCCTCCTTTGATACATCAGTGGATGGGATTCCTGCTCAAGAGGATCCTTGTAGTTGTGATGTTTTTATGTTAGGTTTTGCATCTTTGCTTGCAAGAGGTCACTTCCCTCCATTTGCTTTCTCACAAGCCAACATTTCTGATATGAGGCTTAGAATAGCATTTGACATTTTGTCCATGGTTAGATACGAAAGTTAATGAGGTGCGACTAAAGCTACAGTCCGTAGTTAATATTTTGTTGATGAGATTGACATGTTTACTGAGTGTAAACATTCGAGGTAAAAACTTGACATTGTATTATATTTTGAGCACATGCAACACGGGAGCATGACTGTCACATTAATTTCTCCTCATTGTTTTGTCGTTCCTTCAACTTTGCATTGCTATGAACATTGTTTCGTCCTTATTTTGCTTTGTCGTTATTTCGATTTGTTGTTATTTTGCTTTGTCGTTATTTTGCTTTGTCGTTATTTTGCTTTGTCGTTATTTTGCTTTGTCGTTATTTCGTCTATAATTTTCTCATTTCGTTCTGCCATTTTACAATTAAAAAAAAAAAGTGAACATGAAAACAATTTCACTTATAACGAAAATACCGTTTAAAGAAATAAATAAATCAATTAATTAATCAATCAATCAATCAATCAATCAATCAATCAATCAATCAATCGCGGGGGTCTCCCCCACCAGTCAATCAATCAATCAATCAATCAGTCAATCAATCAATCAACGGAAAAAAAAAAACGACGAAACTAATCAATCTATTAATCAATCAATCAATCAATCAACCAATCAATCAATCAACCAATCAATCAATCAATCAAT